AGTGAACTCTCACAGATGCACCTCTGAATTCTTGGTCTTCACTGACCTTGGTCTTCACTGACCACGACCAACAACTCCGAGTGGGGTGCAGAGAAGGGAGGGACATGTTAAACAAACTTTTGGTTGTTGGACTCAAGAACCTGAGGCAAAAGACACTGCTCAACGCACTCTGGGGTGGGTGTTTTGATCATGGTGTGCTTATGAATCCTGCTTGTGGAGTTCTCCCAACTTAATGTCGGGTGACTTCCCTCCTCTTATTCGAAGTTTCTTTTCTACACTCAGTCTCTGTGCTTGTGAGAGGAGAAGTATTGTCTGTCAGAGGCGCCCAGGAGTGGGAATTTCCCCTGGTTACTGGATGGGGGCTTGAGCCAGTTCTGTGTTATATGGTTGAAAAGGAACTCCTAGATATTGAACCTGGTGCTTATTAATGCCACTCCATCTGGCAGAAAGGTACCAGTAAAAAGACACCGTTTCCTCAAAAATCTTCTAATCTAAGGGCTGGTCTACACTAAAGCTATAAATTGACCTAAATTACGCCCACCTCCGCCCCACCCCCTGCTCCTCCTCTCTCCTGAGGCCCCGCCCCTTGGCCATGCCAGAAGCCGGAGCTGGGCTCCGGTAAGAGACACGGCAGCCACCCACGGAGGTGGGTCACTGTGGGGAGCCCAAGGGCGACAGAACCTTTGTAAAAGTGTGGGTGGAGAAGGACAACGTGGCAGAGGAATCCCCCCATCACTTCTGGGCCCCACTGCTTCCCTCCCACATTGCCCCAGCTCCCTTCCATGGCCTCACACCACAGGCCCACCACACTCCTTGCCTCTTGACCCCAGAACCTCCCCCTACCCCACCCCACGGGGCCTATCCATAAGACCGGCCCTGTGTTCACTTTATTTCCAAACTCCACTGCCTTCATGGATTGGCATGAGGATACACATGCCACAATTAAAACTCCCAGGCTCAGAGTGGAGTAAGATCTAAACACAGGCCACAAGCATCAAGATTTACACTCCTCCTCTAGTGGCCAAAATTCGTGGTCTCAGTATATTAGGATGCACCCAACAGGACCACAATGACAGGATTCATATTACAGAGACAAGGTGGGTGATGTAATATCTTTTATTGGACCAACATCCGTTAGTGAAAGAGAGAAGCTTTTGAGCTCCCAGACCTGAAGAAGAGCTCTGCAGGGTCGCAGTGCCAGAATGCATGCTTGCAACATAGTGGGGATGCACTCAATCCCTGAGTGTAAGGGTTCATCTCATAGGCGCCGACTCTGTGGGTGCTTCAGGGTCAGAGCACCCACAGAAAAAAATGATGGGTGTGATGGGTTGTCACCCCCAGTGTGCAGTCTAAGAGCTGTGGGAATTGCTGTGTCTCCTAACCCTCCAGTTGGGCTGGTCCCTCTCACACTACTCTGCTGGTGTTTCAGCCAGCCTCTCCAGGCCCCGTTATCACCCAACATGACAGCAGGTGGCGCCACACAACTGAGCTACCTGAATGCTTTACCAAAGCCACTCAAGGTCAGACAGAAGAAAACAGCCAATTTCCCAGCTCTCCAGGCTTGCATCCTTGCTGGAGTATAAACCCAAAATTCTCCCATCTTGCACTGCACAGGGGTCTGTACAATGCAAACTCATTAATATAGTTCACTATCCCCTCGATGTGGGAAGGATATGAGATTTTCCAAAGACTTCATTCAAAACACACTGGTTAAGATAAAACATATAACAAGTTTATTAACTACAGAAAGATAGATTTTAAGTGATTATAAGTGATAGCAAACAGATCAAAACAGATTACCTAGCAAATAAACAGAACCACAAATTAAGCCTAACATACAAGATAGATAGGATTTGAATTAGCAATTTCTCAATTAGCAGGCTTGTAGAGTCTTAAGGCACAGACTTCAGTTGCGGTGTAGCCTGGGTTCCCCTCCTCTGTTCCAAGCCCTTTGTCTTTCAGGTGTTGAGTTGTGGGGGGGAGTGAAGACAAATCATGATGTCACTTCCCACCTTATATAGTCTGCTCATATGGTAGGAACCCTTTGTTCCAAGCTGAGCTCCCAGCCCAGTTTGTGGAAAAATACAGGTACACCTCTACCCCGATATAACGCTGTCTTCCCTCGGAAGCCAAAAAATCTTACCGCGTTATAGGTGAAACCGTGTTATATCGAACTTGCTTTGATCCGCCGGAGTGCGCAGCCCCGCCCCCCCGGAGCACTGCTTTACCGCGTTATATCCGAATTCGTGTTCTATCGGGTGGCGTTATATCGGGGTAGAGGTGTACCAAAATGGAGTTCAGTGTCACGTGATTTAGTCACATGCCCTTGCTGAGTCATAGCAGCCATTACTTAACAGGCTGGCCGAAACGTTCACAGGAAGGCTAAGCTCTTCCATGGGCCGTCTAGCCTGGTATCCTGCCCCCTCCCTGCCACCCCAGGTCAGACCAATGGGCCCATCTAGCCTGGTATCCAGTCTTACACTGTGGCCAGCACTGGAATAACCTGCCCTCCTGGGGGCACTTTCCTCCTGACCCTCATTAATCAGAGGGCAGTTTAAGCCCTGGAGCATGACATTTACACTCCTTCCAAACATATTTGTTTTAAACCCTTAGGAGTATAACTCTGTCTCTTCCATTCTCCATATTAAGATCCTATTCCGAATCCTGACTCACATCCTGTGCCAATGAGTTCCACAGGCTACCTGGGAATTTAGAGATAGTATTTCCTTGGAGTATTTAATGTTATCAGGTTGTATGTGGCGGGGTAGGGGGGTAGGGGCTGGGAGTCAGGACTCCTGGGTTCTATCCTCAGCTCTGGGCGAGGAGTGGGGTCTAGATCAGGAGTTGCCAAACTTTGTTCCCTGAGCCTCACCTGTGCAGTTGCAATAGGCACTGCAGCCCACTATTAACACAGGTCTGTCAGGGAGAGGGAAACCGTGGGGGCATTCGCAGCCCCTCGCTTTAGCAGGGGTCACATGGCAGCCCTGTCCCAGTCACCCATCCAGCACCTTGGCACGCCTCTCAGGCACCCCTGTCTAGGAATGAGGGAAGTGCTCGGGGGCTGCCAGTGCTGGGCAGAGGCAGGTGCTTAGGCCGGGCCAGGCCGTTACCCTGATGGTCCCAATCACCCACTGCCAAGCCCTGGTCCCTGGTCCCGGGCTGTGGGGCCGATACTCCAGAGGTTCCAACAGCCATTGATTGCATGGTGTGGTGGCTCGGAGTGGGAATGGCCGCGAACCCTCCAGCCTTCTCCAGCCACCCTGGGCACCATCATTTCTAGGGCCTGGCCCCTTCTTCTCACCCTCCGTCCACCGCACGGCAGCTCCGCTTCAGCCTCTGCCACCCACTGGGGGCGCTGTCCTCCTTTGTCCCGGGCTACCACTCCACCAATGTACACAGTTTGTGGGGACAACATCATCCCATTCCCCTCTCCAACACCGCCCATGGCAGACCACCCAGGACAATGTCATGGCCCACCGTTAGGGCATGGCCCACAGTTTGGGAACCCTTGCTGTATAGGGTCGTATAGATGGGAAAGGCCTCCTATCCCCTCTGGATCCCTTGGCAATATTACTAACCTGTAAATATCACCTGTGTGCTATTAATACGCCATAATAAAACTGCCCGTCTCCTTGGCTCCCTTTCCCACCCACCCCACTCTGTCCCTGACAGAAACGCTTCCCTTTGACTGGCATTAGCCACATTACATTGGATTCCCCATTGCAGCAAACTCACCCAGATGTCTAGCTCCCCTGTCTTGTCATGCCTCACTCCCCTCCAGCCCAGAGCTCCCCCTAGTGTACCCAAGCATGTATAGCACCTGCTCATTTCCATCCTAGTGGGGTTAGAAGAATGACACGGATTCCTGCTTACAAACTTCCTTTCACAAATGTTTATTGAGGCAGGGAGATACATTTGCAAAGAGCCAGAGATCTGGAAGCCTCCCAGAAGCAAATCATTTTGTGGTGGAGCTGCAAAGCTGCATGACAGTTTCCCATGCTGAAGATATTTAACTTGCAGTTGGTAGGGTTCAGAGTTAACAATCATCATTCACCAGTTAACTGCATCATGGAGCTATGAATCTAGGCTCTCAGCAGATGTAGGTAGGCCTGAGCCAGGAAGATACTTTAATCCCAGAGTCAGGGGGAATTTGCCTTTTCCAATGTGACCCTAATGCAAATGCCATCTCCCTGAGTCTGCTGACAGCCAGAATCAAGAGCCCTGTGGAATGTCCTCCTGGGTGTCAACTGTGAATCTTACCAATGGCAAGTGATATATCAGCATCACTGCTGATCATATGTGCAGGGAACATCTAGCTAGATGGTGTTTGGGGTGTGTGCATTCATGGTGAAATAATTAACAGCAGAGCTGCTGGGTAATTCTGGCAAGCAACAGGAATAGGCAGTTAGTGGTGGGATATTTTTCCAGAGAGGGTTGTGAGGGTGGCCGGTCCATGGAAGGGAAGAGGCTGTTATGGGCATAGGAGACACCGATTCCCCAGCAGGAATGACAGCATGAAGCCCAGTAGCGTCAGCAGAGTGGGAGCTAGGAAATGCTTTGAGGGACAGGGAGCACTGTTGAGCAACGCACACCCGTGCCCCTCTTCAATTCCCGAACCAGGGCGCTCACCAGAAGGGCTCCTTCCCCTTGGCTATGCTGTGCTGGGGGGGCTGGGGAACATACTCAGAACAGATCGGGCCCCGAAGGTTGGGCCCACAGTGCAGACTGTAGTGGAGCCAGAGGCGGCCGTGTTTCAGGTAGCACTCCCTGTGATGGGGCCCCCCAGACTTCAGTGGGATGTTGCAGGCCCCCAGCAGGTCATCATCCCAGCCATTGTCTTTGTCCCAGACCTCGACACGGAGCTGGCTGGCGTCAGTGACACGGACAGAGCCAAAGTCCATGTGTCTGTTCCAGACAGGGCTTTTTCGGTTCCAGATGGTGCCAGTCCGGTTCTCTCTCCTGTCAAAGAAGACCTTGACGTAGGCATCCGTAGCTGTGAGAGTGTCACCCCGCAGATCACTGGCCCGCACCACAGTCACCGTCAGACTTGCCAGGCCCCGCTCCCGCGAGCAGCACATGGTGTTGGTGGAGATGTCCCCGGGGCAGACGCAGGAGCAGGGGTCGAGGGTGCTGCGCTGGGTCCCCGCTGGGCAGCTCTTGGTGCAATCCATCCACAGGGCCCTCTCACGGATGTACTCGCTCACGGCCTGCCCAAGTGCCTCCCGCTTGGGGTCGTCCTGCCCCAACAAGGTGTGGATTGGCCTCAAGGAGTAGGTGAGAAGGCCAGGGAGGGACTTCAGGGTTTTTACCCAGTCTGAGAAGACCCCAGCGTAATTTTTGGAGAAGAGCAGGTTGTCCGTGTTTTGCCCTCCCTCCTCCTCCGCGTGGTGCTCCCGGGACATCTCGTGGAAGCTCTGTTGGAATTTCACCCTCTTATTCTCCTTGCAGCTGCTGAAGCTGGACTGGTCTGAGCCCACCCCAATATTCATGGTCACCTCCATGCTCAGACAGTCCTTGATCTCGTTGATGGTCAGCCCATCCAGCGCCGCCTGGCAGACCTGCACCGCAGTCACGTCCCGCACCCGGCCCCCCAGGGACGCCTGGGTCATATAGTGGGTGCCGTAGGTGTGAATCAGATGATGGTATTCCAGCTTGGAGGCCTTGTTGTACAGGCTGGGAAGGTTCTTCACCGCCAGGACGAAATGCCCAGCGAGAGGAGGTTTTCCGCTGATCCCGAACCTGCCCCAGGGACCCAAGGAATTTGAGAGAGTTAGAAAATCCCCGAATGCCAGCCAGGAAGAAACCAGTAAGGACTTTCCTTGGCCAGCTGACTCCACATCACCTTCCTCACAGCTTGGATGGACTTTACTGTGGCGGGGTGACCCTAAGGGGAATCCATTGCAAAGGTTCACCGGACTATCAAGGGAGGGGCGGAGGACCCCAAATGAAAGCTGAGAAAGGACTCAAGCACGTTGGACTCGGTGGGAGATCTCGACCAGAGAGGTGGTCAACCATCTCGCTGGACGGTAGATTGATAAGGAAACTGCCTTGCACAAAGGCTGTGCCTTGTTTTGTTACGTCTGAGCCACCAGAAAGCGCTTTTCACTTTTATTTGCTTGTAACCACTTTTGTCGTTATCCCTTGTGCTTGACCTTACTCACCCTCCTCTCTCCCTTACTGCAGAAACTTGCTAACCCAACTCGCTGGGGGATCTCCGGTTAGCCCGGCAAGCTGCTGAGTGTTGTATCTTTAAAGGAACGAAGGAACCTTAAATCTCTCCGAATGGGCCATGAGAGGGATGGAGGTTGCAAAGCACACGGTTTGGGGAACACTTGGGACGGGAAGCGTATTAGGGTCATTGACCAGGATATGGCTGGGGAGGTAACATGCAGGCTGCTGGGATCAGGGCTGAGTCACTCACAGACACTCAGTGCAGGCTTGTGGAGCGTCCAGAGAAGAGACTCACAGCAGCAGAGCCCCTTGAAGCATTTAGGGTTACAGGTCAGGCAGTGACACAATCCCTCACTGGCCTGGATCGCACCCCAGAACGAGACAGCCCCCTACAAGGGAAAGGCCCTGGACGGCTGGTGGTACCACTGTCCCGCTTTTTCCCAGCTACCCCACCCAAGAGGCGGCTGCATCTCAGCACTGGGTGAGGTGTGACATCACTGCACACTTGTTACCCATGTGCCCCTCCCCAGAGCTAGCTGCATCTCGGTGGCAGATGAGCCATCCCCAGGCTGGGAGGTGTCCGGGCTGCTGCTTACCTGTAATATGGGTAGGAAACCTCATGGCTTACAAAGGCGTATTTGTCCTTCCGTGACTTCTGCGTGACGAATTCGGCCAGTTTGGAGTGTGAGCCGGCCAGCCCCACCTGGACATTAACCTTGGGCACCACGGGCACTTTCATCC